AGTAACACATGTTAATGGCTCATCGCATATGCATTAGCTTAGTGCCCACTTTTATATACACACACACACAGGGACACTTTACGTTAACAGCCACACTGTTTCCCCAGTGCTTATTTGCACAGTGTTGAGTAATACAGGATGTGTTCAAAGCCACCAAAAACTGTGACCACCACTCAAATATTATGCGGTTTGCTGACACCGGAAAGGTGTAATGGCACAAGTGCTTCTCAGGCAGGAGGAGGGATTACCTCATTCAAAAGAAGGTGATTCTCTAAATAAAACCCCACATGCTCCGTTCCCTCTTCCCTCCCCACACACACACACAACCTCAGACTCAATAAGAGCTGTATGGCTCTGGCTCCCAGCATGTTGTGTAACTTCTGCACTTACTTTCTCCCTTCTCTAATATTTCCCTGACTCTCTCATGTATGTATAGAACAAGGCGTATATACTCAGGTCAATGGTCAATGGAGTGCTGTGTTGCCTGGAACCATAGTAGTGTTTAGACCTGTTTGTGTATGTTTGCCCAACGTCTGCAAGTGCATGTCTTTTATACTACAAATCTGTAAAATCCGTTAATACTCATATGTCTAGACTACAGATTGAATAATAAACCACAGATGTATGAATTGAATTTAGGTGTATAAATTGAATTTGCTTTTAAGTGTGCCTTTCTTCCCCTCGAGTGATGGAAATTCATTCCTGCTGTAAAAGGGTAGTTTCCAGCATTTGCTCGCTGAATTTACAAGAAAAGATTTTGGTAAAGGTAGTCGGCTGTGGTTGAATAACAGCTGACCACTCCTGTGGCTTCATGGTCGCCGTTAGGAATGGTTATGGTCATGGTTGTGGCTTAGGTTTGTCAGAATTGGATGAGTCAGCTAAAATATGTGGTCGGGCTTTAAGTGCAGTTGTCTGCGAGACCTGTGGTTGTAACCAAACTAACCATCATGAACCTTGGTTATTGTTGAACCATTTGGTGTTTTTGTAGAAGTAGGCATTACGCGGTACATGATGTTCAGGTGATGATTCCTCCACTCAAGGAGCGGCTCAAGTATTCACCACAAAAACAGCCGCCTCCTCTTCCCTGCATGACATTAAATCCTCGCACTCGGTCTACCTATAATCTCTCTGTGGCACGTGGTTTAGGAAATGCCTGGTAGTCTGGATCCACACATGTACCGCGTAAGGGAAGTGGAGGCAGAGCACCTTCAACCTCACCTCCCCAGTGCTGTTGATTTCATTAGCGGGTAGACAGAGCAGTTAGGGAAGTGTGTGCTTGGCGTGAGCTCAGCTGCGGTGTCTGTGTCTCTTCTGCCTGTCTGAGCAGGCCACTTGAGATGCTGCTGAGTATGGGTTTGGAGGCCGTCGAGTCTGCTCTGGCGGCCCGAAGCCTTTGCAGATTAGCATTTCAGCTCTGTTAAAAATGGCATACAGCACATGTTTGAGAAAGACGACGGTTGCAAGTTTCGAGTGCAGGTTTGTGTTGGTGACTCAGATTACCAGGTGGTTTGGAGACAGATCTGTGAGGTGTATCGTGTGTGGGAGAGTGGATTGTCTGTCTATATTCTTCATGTGCACTTTCCAACATGTGTCTTTGTGTTTGATGTGGGCATGGATGGATTACTGAACAAGCCTACCAGGCAAAAATATTCTCTGTCAACCAATAATGACCCAAATTTGTTTTTCCTTATTTTTTCCTTCATATTGCCGCTGCATACTGAAGCTACAGCAACAGTTCATTAAAATACAGTTAAGTTAGCCTCTCAGGCTTTTCTTTGATGCTTTCCTATAATATTTGTAAATAGTATTTTGTATATAATGTGTACAGAGGAGTGTCAGTGTGGATCTGCTGTAGCAAGACGAAGTGGTTCAGGTGCAGTTTTCCTCATTAGATATTGCGCATCATTAATTTACCTGCAAAATGTGTAAGAGACGCAAAACAACTGCAAGAAAGAGACAAAAAATGACTTCAAAGAGACAAAATGGTCTACTATTAGATGCAAAATGACCACAAAGAGAAGCAAAACAAGTACAGACACAAAAGCAACAACAAAGAGATGCAAAATGACTACAAAGATATATAAGATCATTTTAAAATAGAAGCAAAATAGCAAAAAACTTAAAAAAAAAAAAAATGCTGTGTCATTCGGTCACTTTCTCTTTCTCTTGTAGGGCGGGGTGGGGGGAGGTTACATGCCTGTGACCAGAGGCGTATTTTCTCACAGTCCGTCCATGGATTTGGGCGTCAGACGTAGCATTCAGTAATTTGACAGCTGCCTGGCAAAGCGCTGACTGTAAGAATGCGATGGTGGAGCTGGCGTTGCCCTTTTACACCCGAGGGTCAGACTCGCTGCTATTTCCTCATTAATGCTACTTTTCTGTTCTGCTGTTTCTTCCTTTGTGTATTTTTGGATCTGTTGCCGTAATATGTGTGTGGTGATTTCTTTCTCAGTAAAATCTGTTTTATATAAAGTGTCACTGGGCCTGCCAGATGAGGCTTTTTCGCTGTAACTTTGGATGCTGCTCACGTTTAATGACTGAGGGAGGCTTTGATTCACCATTAGCTCCTCTCTCCTCTCAGACCCAGGGTTTTGTTATGGTTTGTTTTGAATGGACCGGTTTTATGTGAAAATGGAGGGAAGTTAACGAGTTTGAGTGTTTTCAAGACACCCCGCGTAACCACTTACCAGAGGTATATTGTGTTCTCATGCATGCCGAGAATGTGTGTGCGCGCTGTTTTCGTGGGTGTTCTTGTGTGTGAGAGCATGTAGGAGTCTTGGTCCAGCAGTGGCCCATGGTGGCCAGCCAGAGAGGATTGCGTGAGACTTTTTAACAACGTCTGCAGAGCTTTTCAGCAAAAACATTTGATAAACAGATTGTGGAGGTCTGTGAACGGCCCGTTTGTGGCTGATCCCTGTTCATGCACAGCTTCTGTGTTTTAGTGCGTGTTGCTCTGGTTCTTCAGAGAGTTTGACGCCTGCAGAATGGTGGGCATCCAGAGCCGCCTGTTAAATTACATCTGCACCAAAACCACAGACCCCCATACCAGACGAGCCTCCCTGCCAGCCAGCCAGCAAGTCGGCCAACGACCAAACACTGCCCTCCCAGTACTGGTCTCTCTTTCTCCTGTTTATTTCCCTTAACATCTTTGTCTTTGCTTTCTTCAGTTTTACTGGGTTACACTTCAGTGTGAAAATTTTAGAAGTGTTATTTGAGTTATCGTGGCAAAGACTCACGCAACGCAAACAAGCATAAACAGACACCGCAGACACACACACGTATGACTAATTAAAAAAAAAAAAAAAAGCTCAGAAACCTAGAGCAACACTTTGGTAAATGGCTGTAAAACAAGAATTTGACTGCCTAGCTATGTGGTTGCTAAACAATCACAGACGACAGCGAGGCAAAGCTGTAAAACAGACCTGATCTCAGCACACATGGTGGCAATGAACACACCTTTTTTCTAAGTACTTGTGATTTGAAGTCTGCTGTGAACTCCCGCATTACTCTCAATACCTGCTTCCAATTAACTGAAGTGTGTTTGATTTGATGTAATTTTCAAATTAGAAAACGTCGGATCATTTTCAAATTAGAAAATGTCAACTGATGTTGGTGTAACTCCTCCTGTGCCTCAGAGGAAAATCTCCTCTACCTTGCGCAATCCAAACTGAGTCCATCTCTGCAGAGACACGGAAGCCTGTCTCTCACACACACACACAATAACATGATGAGTACAATATAAAGCAGGAGAGATTAAAGGATGCAAATGATACTTTTATGTGATCAGATCAGGTCTTGATGTGGATGGATGCCTAAAGACAATATGATCAGGGTCTAACAGGGGAAAATAAAGAAATTAAGTCTCTCTTGTTTCTTATTTGATTTGCAAAATGTCGCCTATCCCTGTTATTGCTGTGACTTTGCAGCATCGTCCTGTAGACGATACTCTACGTCAATTAAATCAGTAAATCCCTGGCAGGTGAATGGAAAGAAGCTCTCACTATACAGTTTTTCACAGCTATGCACCATTTCATCCTCATCCTTCGACAATTTCCATGCCTAATATTAGGGTGACATTTCTGGCATTAACTCCTGACAGTCATCAGTCCACAGAGAGCTGATGAAAACAGCTCAGGGGAGAGCTGCAGTTGAAATTTATGCCATTTTCACACATCACTCCACCAGTTAAAGCCGGTCGTGGACTCTTACAGTTGCTCACTTATGACACACAAACGCACTGTGGCGGTTTCCTGTTCGCACCTGACCACGGTTGTGAAAATATTTGCCAGAGGGCGATGTGGTCATGTCTTCCTGTAATAAATTAAAGTCAACAGATCTGCCTGTCGCAGTTGCTTGAGGGCCATCTAGACCAAACAGTGCCCCAGCCAAGTACTTACCACACACTGTACCTGAGCAGCAGCTGACAGCAGGGACATACATAAGCAGCACGCTTACAAGTTATATTTGTGTGCATTTGCATCTTTTATTTGCACATATAAAAGTGCACCACTGCTGGAAATAGTGTGTGTCTTTAACAACTCGGTGCATAGAAGGACACACAGTTATGTATGCTTTTGTAGATGCCAGCCAACCTTTTATCCCTTTATATTTGTGCAGTCATATCAAGCACTTCCCATGCTTTTGTGCAAGAAACGTGCTTCCTCGGCTTCCTTGGTTTGCTTTGGCCAACTGTCTGTGGCTGGCTTGGATAGGACATAGAGGATGTAGAGAAAATGTAAGGGCAAATCTTCACAGCAGAGGAGATTTGATACCACGGTATGCCTTCGAAATGCTTGGAAGTAGATCAGTTCAGTCATTTCAGCTGATAAAGAGTAAATGCATCTTTCAAAAGTCTTTCAAGTATTTCAAATGAACCCAGTGATTTCTCTGTGACTTGTTGTGAACTCCAGTCTACAATAAAAGGCAATGAAGCCCATAATATGCACGCACATGTTGCATCTGGTCTTATACCCCCTACCCTCTTTTTCTCTTACCTCCAGTTCTTTGTGTGTGACACGTGAAGCCTGGGATGCTGGTGACCATGCTGTTGGCTCCTGTCTGTGTGCTACTGATGCTGGGGGGGCGTGCTCTTGCCGGAGGCTATCCCCCCATACCCCACGTGAAGTACATGCAACCCATGATGAAAGGGCCTATTGGACCCCCATTTCGAGAGGGCAAGGGGCATTATGTTGGTGAGTAATCCCTGTGGGTGTAGTATACGTGTGTGTCTTTCACTTTAATGCCTCACTCAACATCTCTACAGGCCGAAAGGTCCACTTACACACTTTAGCTACAGTCCACTGGGTCAGTGGAAGCACTGATACTTTGAACTGATTCAATGTGATTTACCCCTGTGTCTCTCTGTCTCTCTTATGTTAACTCAAGCATTCAGAAATACATTCACAAAATAGGACCTGGCTCAAAGCCATTTTTCTGCAAACAGTATATTTCCTTGTAGTATCCTGTTGGCAGTAACCTTAGAATTAGATATTTTTCCAGCTATTTGAACCAAAGTGAGCATGATAATTATCATATGATAATGATCATACTGTACAAAGAGTTCTCCAACATTGCAGTTTAAAATGTAATTGATATGGAGACCACCCCATGAACCGGACAGGCTGAAGCCACTGGTTTAGTTTGTCCTCAGTTAAAGGGCTCAGTGTGAGTCTTCTTGCCCTGTGGGTCCAACAGCATTTGGCCTGAGTGCCCACTGGGCCAGTTATTCCTCCTGCCATCTGGATGCTGTTATCACATGTTTATCACATGTTTCAGCTGTTAGATGGAGGAGAGAGAGTGTGAAGTACATAAAAATAGATTAAATAAAAGACTCGGGCAAGGGAACTTAGAAAAGGCAGGGGGCACTAATCATCCTGCAAAAATGTGCACATTTTAATTGCCATCATTATCAAATTTGACTCAAGCTACAAACACGAAATCTGGATCAGATGAAATGCCTTGTTTTATCTTCTTCAAAGCGAAATCCAAAGCAAATGAGGGGCACATTTTTATTTCAGTATCATAAAATGATGACAATGAAATACTCCAGAAGCTGGATTCAGATCAAATTCAGGCATGAAATTCATCATTTAAATTCCTCACAGAAACATCAAAGATCTGCAAGAATAATTCACCCAGTCCTAAATTATGCTTTCTGGGATTGGATGAGAACACTACAAGTGGTTCACAAGAATACAGTGCTTTTACTGCCACTCAGTGGTCACATGTCCACATTGCATCACCACTGAAATACTCTATCAGACATTTTTATTGGAGTATGTAGCATCTGTTAGTTGCGGCTCACTGTAACTGTATGAAAAAAGATATTCCATGTATGATTTCAGCTTTTGATTTCAAGTGATTTTAGTTAACCATATACATGTCTGTGTCTTTAAATATAGTTTATGATTGTCATAAGATCTACCGTATTTTGTCGTTGTCACAAACAGGGTAGCACAGCCATGACAAAAGAGGGAGATAACCAGAGACAAGCCAATTAACAAATGTTTTATTTTAAAAAAAAAATAGACAATAAATGTAGGAGAGGAACCTCAACTAACAACGGCATGTGTAATCTCTAAGATCAGCAGTGTAAGTGAGTGCATGAGTGAAAAAGTGTGTGAATGCAATGTTGTATGGTGCAGCAACATAGACAACAGAAACCAAATGCCAACCAAACCAAATGGGTGACTCAGGGAGGAGAGAGAACCAGAACTGAGCTCCAACATGGTTTTAAAAGCACCAGCACACAGGGCACAGCTGTGCTCGGTCTGCCGATGAGCCCAGGTACTGACAACCCTTAGCCACACCCACCTCTATACCTCTGTAAAGGAAGCAGCCACACACATGAAGCAACAAGTACACAGGTGGAGAGGGTTGTCACATTGGTGCAGAATCAGAATCCTGTCATGTGTTTTAAGTCAGCCTTTACAGAAGTATAGAAACATTTTTTGTGCTGTTACAGAAAATAAATAAAGATGTAACGCATTAGTATCATACCATCAAAAAGACCATGATTACAAAGCAGACGCCAGGATACTGATATTTATTATACCACATGTAAAAATTTTCCTACTGTAATAATTTGAAGATATTTGTTTTGCATAGGTCAGTGAGGAGAATGCACCCACGTTAAAATGTGATCAGTATGATTAATAATAGGTGTTTAGTTACAAAGAGAGGTTAAAGCCTCAATTATGACTAAACTTCAAAAAATGTCAAATGTTTCAATGAACTACTCATTTTTCCTCCACCGTTAGTCCTGTGGGAAATATCAAAACATCAAACTAGAACTTTACTAAATGTAGTCAGTCACAATTTTAAGCTGTACTTGTTTTTACTCTGCCATCTTTGCTGCATTTTTTTTTTTTTTATAACTATTGAATTTTTCCTGCACTCAAGCACTCATGTGTTTCAGGTTATATATCAGTATTATATATCTTGTAATGACCCTCTAGCCTGTTGGGTATTCCTGTTGCCTTGCTCTTACAAGAGCATATTTCAATACAAACGTATTTGAAAGCACAAAGCAAGTCCTTCCAGGGGAGCATCACAACAAGAAATCAAGAAGCATTTATAGCCTCTGAAGTGTGAAGCACCTTATCTTTCCTCTCTGGGTGATATATTAAAGTGGTTTACAGCAGAGCTACATGACAGGGAACATGAAAGACTACAAATGAGGCCATAATGCTCATTGCACATTTGAAAACAATGTTTTTGATGGTTGGATGAAAAATGACGAAGCAGCTTTGCTATTCTTAGATCCACTAGTGGTGAAATAATATAGTTTGGCCAGAAGGTGGCACCCTTACTTATGTAGACATATCTCATTATTCTACATCTGTGGTAAATAGATCAAAGTTAAAGCTGGGAGTCAGTCACTGAGTGAAATAATGGACATTGGCAATGCACAGATGGGATATTCATTTAATGGCTGCCATATTTTCTCTTCTTTAAAAGTACAGTATTTTTGTTTAGTCTGCCTGACATTCTGATCATCCACAGGTTTTTGCAATAAAGTTGTGAGGTTAAATGTAACAATAAACAATAGGAATAATGGCCACAGCCCCCAAAGTAAGATTCAGTCTGTGGGGACATATGATCACTAGATATGAAATGTGTGAGTGTGTGTCTTCTTGAATTTTCCAAATTATTTTTTATGCTTAAAACTATATGATGCAGACCTACATAACAAAGGTACAGCATGCTGCTCACATACATGACTGTTACAACATAACTGGAATCATATAATACTATTACCCAGATACAGTTGAGGATCAATAAGCTCTTCTTACCGTTGTGTTTGATTTTATTTGTTGATCATAAAAAGGCTGCATGTCTCATTACTTGCCACTAGGGGGAAGTAGTGGCCTTTGGTTACATTACAGGATGGAATGGGAACTTCAACTTGAATTTCTTTGCAAGCTTGTCACAAGGAAAGGAAAAGAGCAAGTTTTTGCCATGTCTCATTTATTGCTATTGAGGTGTTCTTAAATAAGACACCTGGGGCATTTTGGTGATCAATTAGAAATAGTATATTACTGTGGTTGTATTTGCAGGTGCCAGGTTTGGGAGGCCATGCATCACATATTCTAATGCATTTATTGGTTGTAAAATGCAGAGGAATTATTCACACACAACTGAATCTTAGCCTTCAAGCTTTCAGAGGGGGAGGATGGCAGTGGTTGGCAGGATGAGCTGTGTCTTCTGGACATATATCCCGCCTTGAAAAGTAACATTCAGACACAGTGTTGCTGAGATGAGGCACTGGAACAACAAGTCAGTTTATGAGTTTTTTTTAATTTTTTTTATGGTATACTTGTTTCTCTCTGTTATACAATCAAAACATTTGCATTTTACAAACACTCTCAAACCCAATAGCACCCCCAGGTCAGTCAGTTGGAAAACAGAAATGTTAACTCCTGTCCAATTGTACCATTACATAACAACTGCTCAACTCAGGAACGAGAGTACTGTTTTATATATGGATTTACGACCTGTGCAGAATATGCTCTGCCTTCCACTCAGTTCCTGAACAAGCAGAATGGATGAATGACCAGAATAGTCAAACATCATCAACATGATCATTCCTTTGATGGAAAAGGTATAAAAGTGAATTCAGAGGACTCTTTCCATCATATTTTCAAGAATTTCAAGATATAAGCAATTCCCAGGCTTTATTTTGACATGACTGAAGTTTGAATTTTCATTTCCCCATTTAAGGATGTTGTCAGATGTCTCTTGTATGTTACTCCTTAATTCATGGTGTCATTTTTTTTTTTCTCACATTCCTTCTGCCCTGCACACCTGTTTTTCCTTTACTATGGACATGAACTCAGACAACCCCAGGTGTAGTTTTTAGGGATTTTCCGATTAAGTATTTTTGGCCGCAATCTGAGTCCTTTAATTCTGACTATCTGCTTATACCGAGTCTCATCTGATGCTTAAAGTAGTAGTTTAGTTAAATATAAAGTTTATAAACTTAAATTATTGATAGTTCACTTGGGTAATGCCACCCCACCACAGTATGTGTCACCATCAGACTCAATTCACTTGCGAAATTGATGAATATTTTGAGCCACTTTTGTTGGTCAAAACAAGTCAGAAAATATGTCAGAATCTCCTAAAGATTACACACATTGCTCTGCTGATTTAATTTTGAGATGGAATGCATGGAAACTAATCCAGGATGATAAAGGAAACCCTTAGGCAGTTATTGTAAGGCACCTACCAAGGAAGGTGGAGGTAAAATAACCTAATGGTGTTGTTTCCCCCAAATGTATCTACAGCAGAGACATGTATGCACTTATAAAGTATCCTTTTCATTACCAAATGCATTCTTTTGGGTCAGAAGATCGTCTACAAAATAACTAATTGTTCTTGTACATCAATACCTCATGATATGGCCTTTAAGACCCCAATAAAAACATTTACATTCAAGAAAAAAGGCATTGTTGATGAAATTTCTGACCTTATTGTTTTTTTTTTCTTTTTTGACCCTGTTTAAAACCTGACACTCTTATCACTAAGTGGCAGTAATGTGCAAAGGCCAGTGTTCCAACCGCTTTTAATTCTTACATGAGGAAGAAGTCATATTGCCTTCTGAGTAGAAAACAGGTGGTGTATCTGCACTACTTGCACATAGGACCACTGTAACTCAACACAAATGCAATTTCTTAGCTGCTTTTTTTATTGCATAATATTGTTTTACATCTTATTGTTTTATAAGTTACAGTAATATATACATTTTATATTTTATTTATATATATTGAATTTTAAATAACTGTAGTTTGAACTCTTATATTTTTATTGGGGCTATATGTAACTATTTTAGTTTAACATTCAACATTACATTACATAATCAGATTGCAATGTCATCCTGTATGGAAAACAGCATTCACCAATACCTGCAGGTTTGGCAAAATGTCAACAACTGTCCTCTGCTGAGGTTATATTTATTCATGCTAATGTTCTCTCAACATAAGGTTATGGGTTGAAACTTGGTTGTGAGTGTCCATTGAGCCCCTTCACTGAACATACAGGCAGCACACTCTCATGCACACCCAAGTAACAGGCACACAGATATCCCATAGTGCTAGTTCTGGACTGGTGCTAGTGCCAGTTTGGAGTTGGTTCAACTTGCGAACCTTCTAAGAGCTAGTTTGCTTTTCCAGGGGCTAGAGAGCCACCATAGAGCAATGTTATCATGTCACTGTATACATGTGCATATGTGTGAGCCTTGCCAGCAAGGCGCCAAGCACAACAACAATGATGAAATACATTGTCTCTTCACAATTATTTTGCATCAATTTCAAGTCCATTCTGAAACTCACTACAATACACACATACAACTTTGTCCGACTGTTTTTTTTCTACTTATTTTTTGTTTTGAAGTACATTATACTAACAAGATGATCATCTTCTCTTTCTTTAGATATGCCACCCATGATGGAAGTGAAGGGGGAACCAGGCCCCCAAGGAAAACCTGGACCAAGGGGCCCACCTGGGCCACCAGGACTTCCAGGAAAACCTGGACTAGGAAAGCCAGGTCTCAATGGCCAGGTAGGCCCTCAGGGGCCTCCTGGCTTTCCAGGAATTGGTAAACCTGGACTACCAGGTCTTCCAGGAAAGATTGGGCCAAAGGGGATGTCAGGGTTTAATGGTGAGGTTGGCCCTCGTGGTGAACCAGGTCCTAGAGGTCCTCCAGGGCAGCCTGGCCTCCCTGGCCCAGCTGGCCTGTCTTTGAATGGGAAACCTGGACTTCCAGGCATCAGAGGCCCCCCTGGGTCTCGTGGAGAGCCAGGAATAAAGGGTATTTCCGGCCCACCAGGTGAGCGTGGGCTTAAGGGCGAGAATGGAAATGGGAAGACTGGGCCTCCAGGTATAAGGGGTCCTCCTGGGCTGAAAGGCAGTACAGGACCACCTGGTATTCCAGGAATAGGCAAGCCAGGACCAAAAGGTTTGCCTGGACTGCCTGGTCTTAAAGGTGATTATGGACTACCAGGGGATCGTGGAGAACCAGGAGAGGGTGGGGCCCCAGGTCTACAAGGTCTCCCAGGGCCAGTTGGGTTAGGGAAGCCTGGGCTAGATGGATTGCCAGGAGCACCGGGTCCACTAGGACCAAAAGGTGAGGCGGGAGGTAGGGGTCCTCCTGGATTTCCTGGGACTCCTGGCTATGGAAAACCTGGTCTGAGTGGGCCAAAAGGAGAAAAGGGCCATGGTGGGTTGCCTGGACTTCCAGGGGACAAAGGAGAGCAAGGAATGGTAGGCCCAATTGGGGAGCCAGGGCTTGATGGGCAACCTGGGCCGGCAGGACTTCAAGGCCCAATGGGACTTCCAGGAAAACATGGAATGCCAGGACAGAAGGGAGAGCTGGGGCCCCAGGGCCCTCCGGGACTGCCTGGCCTCAGAGGTGACCAAGGCCCCAGCGGACATGCTGGAAAACCTGGCATCCCTGGGGAAAAAGGCATCCCTGGACTTAATGGTCCGTTTGGAAAACCTGGACCCAAAGGTGAAGCAGGTCATATTGGCCTACCTGGAAATCCAGGGCTGACGGGTGCTCCAGGGTCTAAAGGTGAGACAGGGTTCATAGGGACTCCGGGCCCCAGGGGCCAGTCAGGCATTCCTGGTCTTCAGGGGCCCATGGGTCCCATGGGGCCACAGGGTGCTCCTGGCCCAAAGGGTGAACCTGGACTTCCAGGGTCTCCAGGACTGGGTAAGTTTGGAGAGAAGGGATCTATAGGTCCCCAGGGTCCTCCAGGAAAACCAGGCCCTGTTGGGCTTAATGGTAACCCTGGCCCCCCTGGGCCACCAGGGCCCCCTGGTCCTCCAGGAAACGGCCAAACAGTTGTTGCAGGGCCAACAGATTCACAGTTGGAAGGGGATGAAGTACCAGGGGACAGGAAGGGGTCTGTGTACAGTCAAGTTCCTCTCTCTGCCTCTGTAGCACCAGCCTTCACTGCCATCCTCACCACACCTTTCCCTCCCTCTGGTATGCCAATCAAATTTGACAGGACCCTGTACAACGGGCAAAATGCCTACAGCTCTGCTACTGGCATGTTCACTGCTCCTTTATCTGGTGTCTACTACTTTGCGTACCACATGCATGTAAAGGGAACTAGCCTGTGGGTGGCACTGTACAAGAACAATGTACCAGCCACCTACACATATGATGAATACAAGAAAGGCTACATGGACCAGGCGTCTGGTAGTGCTGTCCTAGAGCTGAAGGAGGGTGACCAGGTATGGGTCCAGATGCCCTCGGATCAGGCAAACGGCCTCTATTCTACCGAGTACATCCACTCCTCCTTCTCAGGATTCCTGCTCTGTCCCACATAACCCTGTCCTTTCCTTCAAACATGTTCCTGTATTGGCACCTCAGAGCAGCCCTAAACCTAAAATACCTGCAGCCATGATAGAAACACCACAAAACCCATAAAATTCTCATTATTACTGCCAACATCTTTAAATGTCTCACCCTCAATATCATGAGTGAAAGAGAAAACAAACTTTGTGAATGAAATATGGAAAGTTTTAAAAAAGCAGGGGGTGGAATTTCATACTGTGTTCTTTGTTTCAGTGTCCTTCAACTGTGTGTTTTTGGGTTGTATTTTATGTTGGTGTTTTTTTTAGCTTATATTATTTTAATTATTATATTGTCATAATTTTATTGTTATTATTTGGTCCTTGTCATCATTGTTGTTGTTGTTATTGGATTCAGACTATTAAGTGCCTTACTTTGTAATGTGCTAGTAACAGACCTTCCCATGTGACTGCACATCCTGCCCACATGCTCTGACATCATAAGGACAACATCACCAGACCCTGGGGGGTGAGTGGTTCCTCTGGCTGCAGTCACGTCCCCCTTGTGTTCTTATTTAAACCGTGAATACTGACATAAAGAGCAACAATACAACATAGAAAATATAGACAAACAATAGCAAAAAAATGCATTTGGTGCTGTAATACCATTACTTTTAACTTTTCTTTTGTTTGACCTTTTTGGTACTTTAAAATTATTAATGGGATTAAATCTTTGTTTTTAGCGTGAGATATATATTTTGACATTTAGCATCTGTTGGATGCTTATTTCTCTACATCTTTCTGAATTTAGTAGTTGACCATTTAAAATGATGGGTCTTTGTCTTTTTTTTTATAATTTACCGAACTGTCCAGAAATGCAACCCAAAAAAATACAATCCAAGAAAATGGCCTCACAGTATTAGAATTATTAAATTTAAAATGCCCTTTTAAAGAGGATCAGCTACATCATGCAAGGAAAATGCCTTTTTTCAAACTTTCAAGACAATATTAGCTGAAGATGATATGTATGCATACAGTCAATGTTTACATGTCATAGAATAGATACTGAGAGCAAATGGAGATGGATTGTAAGGACACAACTACAGTATGATCGATAGCCTGTTTCCTTGTATCGATCTAGTTTTTCCCATTTGCACTGCAAACCCCATCACTATGTTGTAGGCATCCTCTTCACATACTCTCACCATGACATCACTGCTTTCTATTGGTATACTACCTATTAATAAATCAGTATCGCATTAACATTACCAGTCAGTAATTTGTAATTCCATAACATGGAAGTTCCATGCTGACCACGTATTGCAAAACCTGTGAAGGTGCTGTAAACTCAGTTTTGCTTATAAATGAGCAACATGGATAACAAGTTAAATAGATCAACTTATTCCTTCAATGCAAGTCTCTGTGTGACTTCTTGCTGGACAAATGAGAGCAAGTCTGAAACATTTGTAGTTCTGAATGAAAAGACTTTCTGTTAATTCCCAAACACTTGTGTCAAAAATAGCTGAATTATCATTCAGCTAAATGGAACATCCGTGGCTACAAGGACAGGATGTTTCAGAACTGAATAATGTCAAAGTATACAGCTGGAAATGAGAATCGATCTGCATTTACTGTATGAATAAGTAAAGGGACTTGACTGAGGCCCACAGGTTGTGAAATACAGGTTGTGTAACTTTTAACAAATTCCTGCCAGATTTCTGGGAGAGGTGGTGGGCCAGAGGTGAGAGCTGTGTATTTACCCATTTCTGTTGGATAAGGCATTAAAGACACGCTGTGTGTGTGTGTGTGTGTGTGTGTGTGTGTGTGTGTGTGTGTGTGTGTGTGTGTGTTGTGTCACATTATCCCCCTCACATCCAGGTCATGAACACTTCAGCAAAGATAATAATAAACTCGAATGAAGTGACAAAACCTTAGGAAGAGCCAACAGGTCCTGTCAATGTTCCACAAGAAACCTGACTTTAGAACGTTTCAGCATGCTTTAGCTTTTTAAAAAAAGTTCCACACTCTCTAATGGTGCCTTTGCAAAGTAAGGGAACAGGTGATGAATGTAATGGATAGATTATGGGAGACAGAAAAACCTGAAATTAAATTGACATTATGAGATAAGGAGATAACATTTCTGGTTAGCACTGAATGGGCTATTTTGCGTATTGTTCCAATGAGTGGCCTAATGGTGTGCAATAAATCTGTGTTGTACCAAGTCATGAACAAAAAAAAAAAGACATTCTGGGAAGTGTGTGAGATCTTTATTTAGTGGTTGCAGTTAAAGAAGACAGAAGATAAAGAGGTTTGACAAAATTGTTGTGATTTAACAATGAGAAGATGGTGTTTATATTACCACCTCCGTGCCTTTACATGCCTCAGCTCAGACATGATCCCAATCTAAACTTGTACCGCCCGAATGCTATCATTACACTGAATTTCGACTACCTTACACCCTGATGGAGGAATGTCAATGTACAGGAGGATTGTGCCAAATTTTGATCTTCGCAATCAGAATGAATGTATACTGTTTGAGTGATTTTCAATAGTATCTACAAACCATGCTGTGCTATTATACATGAACAGTAACTTTTCAAGTTGCTCTACAGAAGCAGTGCTAGGATAAGGCCTAATCAGTATTTTACATCTATATAATGCAAACAATGCACTTGCTCTTGCCCTTTCTGTCTAATAACATGAACACACCTACAACTGCTATGTGTCATTATTGTTACGTGAGTCTACAAGACAGTCCAAGGCTCGTTATGTACTGTATGTTGCCTTTTTTTTTGTCGCCTTCTTTTTTTGAACATATGAAATGGTGATGTGAGTTACATGTGGCTAACACTCGCTGTCCTTATGTTTTCATAGACAATGTCACTTGCTTGCAGAGTTTGCCCTGTGTGCAAATCATTTAACAAGTGTCAGTAAGATCCATGTACCGTCTCAATCACAAATTGCTTTGAAGTGTTTTCTGTTTTTCTTTATAAAAAAGAACAAAAAAACAAAAAAGACAAAAAAAAAACAGCCTTGCTTCGGTTCTTAAGGGATATTTGTTTGTTTTAGTTTCAGTAAATACAAACGGCCATTCCCATTTGCACATGAAATTAATGAAGATGTATTTATACATTTATGATAATTTAATAGGGATGCCAAAACCGACCACCGAAGCCTAGAACGTATAAATGGTATTTAACAGCATTGATGAGTTAAGAGCATTTACAACATGTAGTTAGCATTCTAGTGTTGTTTGTGAAGGATTATTTGTGGACTTTTATTTTCTATTTGTGTAATGTACAATGTATCAGCGTATAGGATTTTTGTCATACAAGGCTATTGCGTGCACTCTATGCAATAGAATTTGGGTATAAATGCACTCTTTTTGATTGAAAATGTTTGTCTGCTTATACAAAATCTACAGTACTTGATTGTATTGATACCACATCAATAAAAAACTTTCTTGTATGTTGGCGTCAGACTCCCATTTCTGTTTGCTGTAACTGCATATGGATACTATAAAGAAGATGTAAAAATCACTGCAACAAACAGGAGTCACTCCCGCAAAATGTTCATAATAGTAGGATTGGTAGTGTTAGTACCCACAGAGTAGTAATTAATCTTCAGTAAAGATACCTGCATGGCACATTTGGTGTAGAAATCTGTTGCAGGTAAAGGAATGGACACTAGAGGGAGATATACAATAATAGGAAAAACAGTGTTTCAGGCCTCTAATTTATCTGAAAGATCCTTGTCAGATCTGCCAGTAAGCTCAGAGTGGTACTGAGAGGCTTCCGCCTATGACTTCCAATTACTTACTGTAGATAACAAAAGTGTTAGTCAGTTACTTGAAATGTAATTTCATTACAGATAACATCACGAGTTGGCTTAAAATGAAAACATACACACACACTAAGCACTTTATTAGGAACACCATACTAACAATAGTTAGGCTCTCCCTTTGCTCTTCAAACAGCCTCCATTCCTCATGACATGAACTCCACAAGATGTTGGAAACATTCCTCTGAGATTCTGGTCTATGTTGTCAGCTCCACATTCATGCTGCTAATCTCTCGTTCTACAACATCACAAGGGTGTTTTACTGGATTCAGATCTGGTGATTGAGGAGGCAACTGAAGTTCACCGAAGTCATTGTCATGTTCAAGAAACCAGCTTGAGACTGAATAATTGATCCATCACACTGGACTGTTGATACAAGGCAGATTGAGTCCGTGGATTCATGTTGTTCACACCAAATTGTGACCCATCTCAGTGCCTCATGGTTCACCTTGTTGTGCATTTTGATAGTCCTAACACAGTTGTAAAGAGTGGTTATCTGAGTTCCTGTAGCCTTTTTGTCAGCTCCAACCAGTCTGGCCATTCTCCTCTGACCTCTCTCATCAACAAGGCGTTTTTTGTTTTCTGCAGCATTTTTGGTAAACTCTAGAGACTGTTGTATGTGAAAATCCCAGGAGATCAGCAGTTTCAGAAATACTCAAACCAGCCCGTCTGGCACCAACAATCATGCCATGGTCAAAGTCACTGAGATCACATTTTTCCCCATTCTAATGTTTGATGTGAAAATTGACTGAAGCTCATGACCTATATCTGCATGATTTTATGCATTGCACTGCTGCAACATGAGAGGCTGATTGGATTGCGTGAATAAGCAAGTGTACAGATGTTTCTAATAAAGTGCTTGGTGAGTGTATAGACAATATCAATCTTTGTCTCAGTTTGTGTCTGTGTTATGCCATCCCAAAGACTGCTTGTGGCAAATTACTTCAGGGGGACTTATGGAACAGAGTTCAATGTGTGTCTAATTTTATCATTCTAGATTGTTATATTTTATTTTCTCTCCTGTTTGACAGGGTTGTCTTGTTTTAGATTGGGTGAAATTATAGACCCTTGGGTCTATAATAGGAGTGCCTCAGTTGGCAATTGGAGGTACCTGAAATTCGATTGGATTAAGACATTAAATTATAAAATATTTGTTACAAAACAACCCATGAGCACATAGATAATAGTGTACGCTTATTTCATGGATATATTATAAGACCTTTTCTGGAACTGTCGTCACTATGGTGAGCTGTCATCACGCACCCGGATTCTTCTTACGTCGTACTGACGCCAGACCCTCCATGCTGCATTCGGGTGATCTCGGTAAACTCGAACATCTTGTCAAACTACTTGAGAATACGAGTTGACGAGCGTGCATGTGCGTGCTTTTGTAGAGAAAAATATCAGCAAACGTTGCAAACAACCTCACACACAATTCGGAGGAAGACAATGTCGTCGGAAACGTCTGGAGAATGTTTATTCATTTCTTTGTTTTACTGGAAATGTATTGCCTGTGGTCATATTAGCCTGCATCTCGCTGTGTGTGCGTTGTAAAAAATTATAAATTAACAATTACACATTTAAAGAAATTAAAATTGCTCTTACAAATGAACATTTCCCAGTAAAATTTCTCTAGTTTCCTACGGTGTTACCTTGCCAACAACTTGGGCCGCCTTGAAAGTCACATTTCCGACAGCGCCTGAGGGTGTCGGCAAACTGAGGAGGCTCCTCCTCAACAACAGTCCCGACCTCCGACGAGAACTCAAGCTGCCACATTGAAGAGGAACAAAAAGGCGACCTGACAGCGCTTTCTGCACTCCCTCCACTTTCTCCGGGGTAGTCACGGGATTTCAATGTTCAGCTTGCTCTTTGTAAGTAGCTAATAACCCAACTAACTGAGAACTGACCTGTAGAAACTTGTCTCTGATACGATCATACACGATAGCAACACCACAGACCCGCTAGTGCCCGATTAAAAGTTGGGTTACATATTGTTGGATGTATGGTGATTAGCATAACACAGGGCAGCTAAAGTAAATTTCATGAGAGTCTGAGAGTCATCTGAGTAGTTGGACCAGTGTGTAGCCACGTTAACATTAGCTCGCTGAGTAAAGCTTGGACGGTGGAGTGTTGGCTACGTACACTGTTCAAAATTGTGTTAACGTTTATTAATATCGATCATCATTGTTTTGCTAATTGCTATCACCCAGCCTCATGTTAGTTGACTCTAATTTAGTGAGTGTTGACGTCTGGGCTGGTTACTAAATGTTGTTGGGAAATGCAAAGTACGGAGCTGAGCTAACCAGCTAGCTAATGTAGCTATGTTAGCTTGCTATCAGGGCTAAGGCTATTTCCTAGAAGGAGAGGAAGCATACGAAAAATCTTTAACGTTGCGAGCATTAGGTTATATCACCATGTTCCAGCTGGCTTTTATTGTTATTTTGGAACACGGCACATTAGATGTCGTATTATCCCATGTTATAGTCCAAATTGTACGTCGACTGCAATTTCATAAAATAAGAGCTGGCGTTACCCGTAGCTGTACAATGAGCCCTGGGTATATCAGTATAGGTAGCATTTCTCTTGGACAACATCTAGCTTAACGTTAACGAATGCTTTGGTTAACATTTTAACAGCTGTCTTGGCTAACGTTCATGCCAATGGCTTCACGTGGGTGTTTAAAATATAACCTGTGCTTGTTATTTCCAGTATTTCCATCTTATTTTGGTGTTAGGCGGTGTGGTCTCGACAGGCGTCGGTAGCTGGGAAAAGCTTGGCTAAAGGTAGATGGCGACTGAGCAATCTGCTTTCCGCCCTTTGTGACAAATCTTGACCCACAGTATGGTTGACCCATTTATATGAAGCCATATGCCAGGCTAACGTTAGAACAGCAAAGCAAAGTGATCGAGAACCCGATATTTCCTGTCTATTGGTTGCTATGCTATCTTGGGTTTCCGCTTTTGTATTATCAACTGCTGCCTTCATTGTTAACTAGCCGGTTTGACTCAGTAAATTCGATATGCTTCCATGTGGAAATGTAGCTAACACTGGGGTTAGGTCGGTCTATAATTTAGCCTTGTCTGGTTTCCTAAAACAGAAAGCACCCAACAATTTAGCCATGTGGGCTGAAGTGAAATGAGGAAATGCACTTGGGGAGGAAGTTGACTAGAGCAGCTGTGACACTAAAGGCCGCAGCACATTCCCATGCCTCTCAGTTTTCAATTTATGACCTTCCAATGGTTTCAGCCTCCACTTTGGTAGTAAATTCTAGTGGCTAGCTAATACCAAAGAATAGCATTGATCACACCTACCAACATGGGCGTATGAGTCAATGCTTAACTGGTGTAACAGGTAAGCTAATTATACATTCCTGCTTATGAGTCACTGCAAGGTGACCTAATTCGCTTGCAGAGTATAAGAGATGAGATGTCTTAATGCAATTAGTTATCAAAACAAACAGAAGCCATAACAATTTATAGTGGAAGTAATGGAAGTGATTGTTGTTGTAATTCTTTAAAATAAATATTTTTAATGCACATCTCGTAATTATACTGCTTTGAGTATTGCAAACAACAATGACATACACTTGCTTCTTAAGCCTAGGATTTCGCAACTCTTACAGAAGACTGCTCAGAGTCTTTATGCTCTATTCACATTTTATTGTGGAAGTAGGTCAGTCGTACTTGTGACCTGCTTTATATTATAGCTAATTGACACATGATGCACAGCCTAATCTAGAAATAGCATAGCTCCACTCTGTCCACTTAGAGCACAGCCTGCAGCGAAAGGCAGGCCTATACACTGGTAGGCACTCAGATACCGCACCTCAAGCCAAACTCCCATTACCTGTGGGTCCACTCTCTATGAGTAGTGTTTATTTTTGTACAGTACAAAACTGCTAGGCTAATCCACCATTTCTGTCTGTAACTCTTATTAAATAAGCATAAACATACATTATTTGGTCATATTTTTGTTTGGAAAAAAAATCATAACTAATATGCAGCCTGTTGTAATTTTGGCGTTGTATGCTTTGTGTTTGCAACACGCAGTTAAGAACCTTTTTTAAAGATCTGGCTGATGGCATATGCTACATCTAAATATGCATTGCCTTGCTCTGCTTATGAATAAATTGGTTTATGCTTGAGTTGAAGTGTGATAGTAGGTATAAATATAGCTGGATGCCGACATGATATTTTACACCAACAAACGGGTGGTTCCTCTGTCTACAGCCAGCATAAAAAAGGCAATGTGACAAGTGAGGAAGTTCTCAGCCTTGGTTACCGTAACTGTGAAAGGTGAGCCCAGTGTACAGTAACATGACGCCAACTTACCAAGGAGGGTTACTGGGGGAGAAGAACACCTATGTTGTAGCCTGCTGGCATTCAGCCCATCTAACCACAGGGTGGCTGTGTGTGTTGAAAGGTAGGGTTGGAGAGGTCTGTTCAACAGTGACTGGCTTAACAGATTTGGCCAATTTAAAATCCAGTTATGCCCCTGGGTGTCTGGCTGTGGTGAGAATGGAACACAAGCTTTGGTTTTACTATGTGTTAGCTTGCTAAGATCCCTGGCTCCAAAGCAATTTTGTTGTTTTGAAATCGGCCCAAAGTGGAAAGCTAGGATTAGATGCCCACACTTTTTTCTTCTCATTTCAAGCCATTAAGTGAAAACCCATATATAATTATGCATTAGTCGCCATGGGCACCTTGTGTTTCTTGTGCTGTGTGTTGGTTAATGAATCATGTCCTGGTCGGCACGGTGTTCGTTTACTGTTGTTGCCACAGCGCTGGGATGAAGCAAAGGCACAAGCTCTGTAGCACTGGCAGTATCTGACAGATTGACGCCTCTTCTAGATGCTGCTGCAAGGCTGCCTACTGAAACTATAGCAACAGGTAGGAATAGGATCTTCCTTTGTTATTAGTGTTTTCAGCTACCTTGTCTAGCTACAGGTGCCAGAGCTGCAGTTAGCAGGGGAAAACACAGTCCTTTGCCAAAACATGCTATAGTGAATGGTGGTGTTATTGTTATTAGAGCTGTTGTTTGCAGGTGTTTGTAGCTGCTCACTTTTGCTGATCCAGAAAGTGTTCTAGTTTTGAAGCAACTATAGTCTAGAAAATGCTGGGTTATTACACATAAACAAGCTTGCTGTGTTTTCCTATTGCCTAGGCACTGTGTTGTTTCTCAGTGGAGCTTGACTTTTCCTTCATTTCCGTAAGCGGTTTATTAAACACATGAAATGTGTGACTACCTCTCACAACATGACCTCAAACTAATGTGTTCATTGTGGCCATAATCTTAAAAAGATGGATTTGCTACCAGGGGCTAATCTGAGAACACAGAGTATACTTAATTCTTCTGGGAAGGAGGTTGGATTTCATTGGTTAAAAAGTTCCTAGATCAGTGTATAAGTGCAGCCATCCAGTCTGAACCCTGACCCTCTTCAATACTGCACCTCCTACTGCTTCTTTGGCTTTGCCTGGTGAATGTTTAAAGAGAGCACCATTGCTCTTCTCTGATCTCTTCACAAGGAACAGCAAAAATCCCTACAGGAGCACTTGTTGCTACCGTTGAGAGAATTGTTGATATGGCAACAGGCATCCCCTGATGCTGCTGTCAGAAGGCCATGTTAGTTTCCAAATGTCAGAAGAATTGATGTCGCAGTGGGACTCTGCACCTCTCGGCAAAAATGCGAGCAGACATTCTCCTGTCTGTTGATGAGTGTCGGCCTCTTGTACTGAAACTTATTTTTATCTTAGACTGTCATAGGAAGTTTGCACATTTTTTTTCCCCAAGTTGTTTTCTGTCTTGGTGAACTTGTTCTAAATTGACACTAGTGCATTTTTCTGGCATTTGGAGAATTAGTTTAACACACAATCCAGACACACCTTCATACCTTTTGTCTATATAGAACTAGTTTTGCCTCAGTGGAAGTGCCTGTCAATTATTTGGCAGAATGGAAGTAATTGTGAGCTGGAATGTGGAAGGAACACCTTGTATTGTGATTGACTAATCAGCTCTATAAATGTGCAGATCTTTGCTCTACCTGATAATTTCTTGTGAAAAGTCAGTTTTATTCATGTGTTGGCCAACAGGTAGAGGTGTCACTCACTGCCATGATGCATGTGTCTGTCTAGGCTGGGAGACGTCGTCCTGGAGCCGATTTGAGGATTTTGACATGAGATTATGACTTATCAAAGGAGCTCAGAGACGGCCGAATATAGTCCATCGACCCATATTCCAGATCGGTAGAAAACTTTCCTCTCCCATCTGGGGAGATATAGTGGTATTGAAAAGCAATCAACAATCTTGATGCACATTAATGCAGACAGATATGTTAATGGAACATTAAAACACATTGGTAAAAGTGCAGGTAGGTACTTCAAGCGCTTGTAGTCTGGTGAAAAGTGTCCTCTTGTCAGATGCTTTCCTTGAAATTTTGAATTTATTATGACTTTGTATCTGTGGTTGTTTTGAATGAATCAGGCTCAACAGTCATTTAGTGATCCATTGAAAATGTTCAAATAACTTAGGTTCAAACAGTTTGATGTTTCCATCATAGAGGCTCTAACTAGGGATGTCTCAATTAAGTTTCTTTTTTGACTATGTAATCCCCAATGTAAACAAGTTGTTTCATACTAGTTGAACTGTATAGGTATGGCATAAAATAATTAACTTCCCTCTACAGTTGTAAGACAAGACGACAACAACTGGTCCAGTTTTCCAGAAACCCTGCATCAGATTTAAACTAGCCTCTGCCTATCACAAATATAGTTGACATTTGATATTGTTTAGCCTTTGTTGAAGCATATTTTTGGCAAGAACACTTGTCCATGTTGAGAGCCTAACCTCCTTTGATTCCATTGTCAGCAGATAA